GATTGTCTAAGTCTCCTGTATACATTCCAACACAATCCGAGGCGCATTCGACAGGTAGGATGCATCTGCTAAGTGGTGAAATTTGTTTCCTTTCTCTACTGCTTCCTCAAACTCAGGAGGGAATATGGAATAACTCGGCCATATAACAGAATTTTACAATTTTAAGGTGTGAAACACATGGCCAATATAGGCACACTCATTCGATCTAGAAAAGCTTGCAACTTGTCTGGATTCTTATCAATCAGTACTGTGTCCTCCGTGTATTCCAAATGTGAGACTGTCAACCCAAAGCAGATCAGTGCCGCAGTTCTCGCAGAAAAGGTTCATTTTAAGCAAATATAAACATCTCGTACGGTTCAAAAGTGAAAGAAAGTGACAGGTCTTACAGCTGGGTGTTTAAGGCATACTGTGCGATAGCCCGCACTATAGGTTTTTTTAAGAACCCTAACCAGAGCCTCTGACTCAAATATAACCCGCAAAGCTGTGGAATGTGGGCCTAATGCTGGAGCTTCTAGAGACCTGCCTCGCAAGTCCTTTGAGTTTCGTTTGTGTATTGTTCGCCGGTGAGCTGTTTGACGGTCCGCTGTTCAGGATCAACTCTTAGCCCCATGCACTCATTTAGAGGCCGAATGTGGAAGGGACGGTGACCCATAGTCTGGGGGCCGGCCAGCTTAGGCGGGGGTGGCTATCAAATGAAGTGAAGATTTCTCCTACCCGGGTATCCCACTCCTAAGTCCGAGATTAAGGACAGACAAACTGCTGTCGTGTTTCTTTGCAGGAGTAACCTCATCAAAGGGAGCCAAGTGTCCGATCAGCAGACCGTGATAGCTTTGTACGGCCTCTTTCCATTGAATTGGATCTGCAGCAGTGAAAAGCTATGCCATATATCTGGCGGTCATCGAGGCAGGCAGGCCACCACACCACGTCAATGTGCAGTTTAGTCGTAAGCATTGGTTCTCATTATTACCATCACACTGATTTAAACATGTCAGTCTTGCTTCCAACACTTCATCAAACGAAACCGGTGCACTAGAAAGCATGGTTATTCGTTGTTCAAACTGAAAGTATCACACCCAAGATAATAGGAAAGGCACCGTGACAAACACCGTTTTCCGGGGTGGAATTGGACATAGTTTTGGCTACTAGTATAAAGGGATTGTAAACGCGAAATAAAATTCCTCGGTACATATTTTGGGAGCTGTACCTGAGGAGAATGCGATCAACTGAGTTAAAAGTTACTTTTGCATCATAAAAGATGGAAACGGAAGAATTAGTGATCTTTTTCAGCAGCCGTTGCATTTAGAGCTTTGACCGCGAGTTGGGAACATTTCGCGGGTAAAAATACGACTAGAGTTGTTGATGTCGGTCTTGCGTAATAAAATAATACTGAAAGAAACTGAGATGAACAAGCTGTCACGTAGAGGGGAGAGTTGAAGCAGCTGACTTCGGATCTGGCTTCTAGATCATCCGGGCTTTCGGGTTAAGTCTCCAAATATTCTAAATGTCGCTTACTGAATGCACTGAGTGTATTGAATACAATGCAGTGGCGAACATGAAACTTCACATATTCACCAGTAAACAAGAAAAAATGAGGAGTGCAATAAACAAACGGAGTTTTGCTACCTTCCTCAACTCAATCGCGTATTGCAGTTTCTTTCTTTGCAATGCTTGATTACTTCGTGAAAACTTGGTTGAAATATGAAATAAAGTAAGCACAAAGACGAGTGGGTCGATTTACACTGATTCACTTTTTTACCTAACCATATTTTTTCTTACGTGAGGATAAGCCGATTTCAGAAAGGAGGCAGCATCCTCAGGAACCCTCAACGCTCTCCCCCGACGAGGCACTATCAGCTCCTAAGCAGGTCTTAGGTGTATGATAAATTCATTTAGCTATGGTTGGCTTATTGGAGGCAGCTTTAAGCAACGGGTGATAGGAATGGCCGACGTAGTGGTCGTTCGGTTTCGCACAAGTCACGAATCTTTATACGGACATTTACGGCAGATAATTTGCCAGTCGACTCCAAAATACTACTGTGTATGGCACGTGGTCGTTTACTTAGTGAAGCCTTAATGGGGTCGGGTGTAGGTGTTTCGGACTGGTGACCCTTTCATTGCACCTCAGAAAATGCCCCCATATGACGGAGGATATCAGATAGCCTTTGTTGGGAAGCCTTATTGAGTGCCTTCACATAGCGGACGAATAGCGAACATCCGTGGCTACAACCCCGTCGGTGAACCACCAGGGGTTCAGGTCGGGAAGTTGGTTGAAAACTATTATTCTAAACAAACCGAGGTACTCGAGATACGAACAACCGCACCTTCCTGGTTTTAGCAGTTACCACTTGGTCGATTGTTCATTGATTTGTATCGACACCCCCGAGGTTTGACCCCATGAACCGGACACCAAGCTCCAAAAGATCACGGTTTTCCATCACCATGTTGTTTTGCGGGTTGGGATTTGGATTGCCGAAGGCTACGGCCGAGAATTCCCCAAAATTTATCTTTTCTGGACTTGGTAACCTGACGGCACCCGAAAACAAATCACAACTTTTTCCTTCGAGGGAGATCGTTGCACTGTGAATTTGGGCACAGTGAAATAACTCATTACACCACTATTATCCACGTTGAGGTACCTACATGATCATTTACCAGCGATTCTAATGCTCCCAGCTCCACTAGCCGCAGACTTGTAATACACCAATGTCTCTCACTGCCCCACTATTTTTAACAACAGTCTGCGCGATAGAAAAGTAGGTTACTGCTCGCTCAGGTGAACCACCGACGTTACCTAATGGCAGAAAGCAACTTACCAGTGTCGAGATATGAATCTCAAAAGTTTGAAACTGCCGATTGAAACTACTTCACTATCAGCTCAACGCGGTTGGCCAAAAATTCTGTAATGTAAATTGCTTTATTATCAGTCTGATTGGTACCATTGAATTAACTTCATTCTGAAGCAGTCTTAAAAGCCATTCTTTGATCTACGTCGTTTGTTACGATAACCAGCTAGCCACCGTCGCTGACATTAGTGCATCACAAAACGAAAAAGGGACTCACCGCGACCACGTGGGCGGTCTTGAGCGTGGTTTACACGAATTCGATGTTCACCGAGCCACTAAGCATTAGAATGATGAGCGGAAGAAACAACATACAGATCCATCGATCTTAAGCGCAGCCTGGAGTGACTCTTCGTCCTCAAAATCCACGTAGGCAAATCCTTTAAATTCATCCGTTTCCTTGTTTCTAATCATTCTTATACTCGATATCTGAAGAGTTATTTTAACCCACTAACAGACTTACTTTACACCCGGGGAATATATCCTCGAAATGTCCTTGTATAGTGGTTGGTGGCAGATTGCCCACGTACACGGAAAAACGGTTATCCCTAAATAGGCAAAAAACATAGGAAAAACGTTAAAATGAGAACTAGGTGCCTCCAAAAGCTGTTTGGATGGAGCGGAAATATGCTCACCGATTAGCCATAATTCTGCGGAAATCAACCAAACGTCCAGGAGCGCAGAATACCAACGAGTGTAGCGCCAACTAACTTAAACAAAACCGCCGCCTATAGTTGTTCCACAAAAAGGAAGCAGTCTTGAAGTGATTCACGGGCTAGAAGCTGTTTCCCAAATGTCCCGGGTCCTTGAAAGGTATCTGTGTTTTCTTTCGGTTTGAATTACCTCTAGAACAGAGAGTACTGAAAAGGGATTAGTTGGGTTCCCCGCTCGAG